TAAATTGTTTTTAATTACTTTGCTGGTTATAGGAATGCTGTGATTTTATTTATTAATCATTGTCTATTAAGCTAACATACTGATAGCCTTTATTAGTTTCAAGACATTTTCAGTTTGGTTCCTTTAGATTTTAATATGCAAATGGCCATTATGCGCAGTTAGTAAAAGTCATCTTCCTGGGTACAATGAAATAGCTTTAGATTTTTTTCTCACCTATTACATTGTCTCAGGAAAAAAGGGATTGCTTAACAAAATAATTTATTGGACTGTGTTGAATTTTATTAAATGCTTTTTTATCTATGCCTAACATGATTAGTTGGTCGATTTTTAAAAATTGTGTAACGGGGAGAGTTGCATTTTAAAAATTTTTCTGACATCAACAATATTGCATTTCTGTGATGAATTCTAACTGTTGTTACTTCTAATAAACTGCTTCATTCATTACACTGATATCTTGTTTAGCATTATTCTGTGTTGATAAAAGACTGACTTGTCCTTCTTTTTCTTTTTAACTACTTTTGTTCATTTTTTCTAGTATTTTACCAGTCACATGAAACAAGTTAATGAAATTGGTATCTTTTGTACAACCTTGAAATTTTGTGTAATATTGGAAATACTTAATCATTAAGAGTTTACTGGGTATAATAACAGACAATTTTATATTACTGTGTGCAGTGATCTAAATGTTTGGGGTCCCCAAAATTCAAATTTTGGAATCCTAACCTCCAAGATGATGACACTGAAGGTGATCAAGTCATGAAGACAAAAATCCTTGTAAATGGGATTGATAGCTTTATTTTAAAGCAACAGGGAAAAATCTCGTCCTGCCTCTTCACCAAGTGAGGACAGCACTAGAAGTTGCGCAGAAGGCCGGGAGGCAGGGTCAGGGGACTCTGGATCTCCACTCCCAGCCTCTCCCACAGCAGGAGGTAAAGTCCTGTCGTTGACAACTATTCTGTTGATGGTATTTTGTTGCAGCAACCTGAGGAAGACAAAATTGCATCCTGAGAAGTGGGGGTGCTGCAGTTAGTCAATACCTAGCAGTGAGGGGTCGCTTTGGAAGCTTGAATGGGGAGAAGTAGGCAGAGCTCTGGGCTGCTGACTAGGGGAAACTCATTGCTACGAGTGGCACAAACCGCGACTGCGTCCCGGGCTTTGGACAGGAGAAGGGCAAACGTCTTCCAGAACACCCAAGTGGCTATGAAGGCAATGCTGGGAGACGTAAGCAGCACAGGTGATTCTGGAGCTTTGTCTTTTGGCTGTGGTGACTGGGAAATCTGAGATTCAGGGGCTGGAGCCCAGGGAAGCCCTTCGTGTTGTGTCAACCCTTCGGGGAAGGCAGAAGGGCCAGGCCAAGGGAGAGCGGGGCTCACGCCTCCTCGGCACCACCTCTGACGCACCCGGGAGGACTCCTCACCTTTCGGGTCCAACGGGGCTGTGCTCCTCACGCACAGCCTCTGGGAGACACATCCAATCCAGCCCAGAAGGACTGAGATGGTGCCTATTTCAGAAGTGAATTTAGTGTTTCTCGTGAGTCTAGGTTTACCACTTCTGTCAGTGTTGGTATTTTTAAAGTTGATTTTTAAATCCGCTTTGTTGAGGTATGATTTAAAAGCAACAAACTGTATTTTAGTTGTACGTACTTAACGGTTTGACGAAAGAATACACCCAGGTAAACACTAATGTATCAAAACACAGAACATTTACATCATTCCTATAAGTGCCCTAAAAACACTTGGCAGTAAATTTCTCTACCTCTAGCAGTAGGCAACTCTTGCTCCGATTTTTACCCCTGTATATTAGTTTTACTTATTATGCAATTTCATATAAGTGTAAGCACAGTGTATTTACACTGAATCCTTTTTATAATGCAGTAATGTTTTTGACAACCATTATTTTTTGGAGAATCACTTATACTTTTATATGGATCAGTAGATTATTAATTTCGGTTGCTGAGTAATATTCCAGCATATGAGTAGACTACAGTTTTCCTTCATCCTTCTGTCTAATGATGATATTTGGGTTATTCTAGTTTGAAGATATCATGAATAAAACTAATGAACATTTGTGAACAAAATATTTTTGATTTCTGTTTAGAAACTACTTAAAAGTAGAATGTTTGAAGTAGTAGCATATATTTAACTTTATAAAAACCACTGAACTGTTTTTCCAATGTAGGTATACCATTTTACACTCTCAACAGCAGTTTGTGAAAGGTATAGTTGTCAGGTAAAAAAAGCCGAAAACCAAGACCAGACCAGGCCACAACAAGCCTTTGTTGCAGGGACGATCTGCTGGGCTCTCTCTGAACAAAGGAGAGACAAAGCAATGTGGCCGGGGCAGGGAGCGTTTCTTACAGGAGCCGGGGCGGGGCTGAGTGAGGTCCTGGCTAGGGACTGGGGGAGCCTGTGACGTCACTAGTTGCTAGGAAGAGAGCAAGTATTAGGTTACTCTTTTGCTGGGAGTAGGGCATGCTGGGAAGAAGAAGGTTGTCCTTTGGTGGGAGAAGCTGTCTTGGTGTGGCTTTAGGTAGGGAGCAGGGCGTTATGGGAAGATGGCAGCTATTCTATCTAGTAGCCGTGTTAGGGTGAGGGAAATCTATCAATAGTGGCTCTTGGTCCTTGACAAAATCTAGTTTTCCATTTATTTTATTTTGGCTAGTGAACGTCCGCTGGTATGTACCGTTTCCTTACATTTTCATGTACTAAAAACTGAGCACCTTACACATACCTGTTGACCACCCATATGTCTTCTTTTGTGATGTGTCTATTTAAATATTTTTCTCCTTTTTGTATTGGGTTGTCTTTTGATTCTTAAGCTGTAGGAATTATGTTTATATTCTGGATACAAGGCCTTTGCCAAATGTAAGATTTGTAAATATTGTCTCCCAGTATAAAACTTAATTTTCTTAATGGTATCTTTCTAAGACCAGAGACTTTGTTTTGATTATTAAGTCAGTTAATAATTTTTAATACTGAATGCTTTTTGTCCTGTCCAAGAGCTCTTTGGCCCTTGTCACAAGGAAACCAGTCTCACTGGTCTTCCTGCTCTTAGAGTGCGCGTTCTGCTCTCACCCTGGGCTCTGTAGCTGCTAACCCGCCTGCTGGGGGCGTTGCACAGGCTCCCTCAGATCTGTGCCCAAGTTCTTTCCAGCCAATCAGCTTTCAGCTCAATGTCACATCTTCAGAAAAACTCCTCCTCCAAGTCACTGTGCTTTATTTTCCTTTGTTTACTTCTAGAAGCTTTACAGTTTTAGCCCTTACGTTTAGGTTAATGATCCATTGTACACTAATTTTCTCATATGATTGGAGGTAAGCTTCTGAGTTTATCTTTTTGCATGTGAAAATCAGAGTGTCTTCACATCATTTGTTGAGAAGATTATAGAATTGCCTTGTCACGTTTGTTAAAAGGTTGCAATTCTGAGCCCTTAAGTCTTTTTCATTGATTTATATCTCCCACCATACTCCAGTATCAGACTATTCTGATTAAAATAGCTTTACAAATTTGCTTTTAGAATTGGGAAATGTAGGTTCTCCAGCTTTGTTCTTCTTGGTCAAAATTGCTTTGGTTATTCTGGTCCTTTACATTTCTATACAAATTTTCAAATCAGCTTCTCCATTTTTGCAATAACAACAACAAAAACACAAAACTAGCTGGGATTTTCCTATGTTTAGCTTTGAATTTGTGGATACATTTGAAGAGGATTGCTACTGTAACAATATTGAGGCTGCCAATCCATGAACATGGAATAGATCTCACTTTGCTTTTCTCATGAACTGTAATTGTTTATGTGTAAGCCTGACATAGTTTATATCAAGTGTAGCCTTGAATACTTTGTTCCTTTTACTACTTTTGGAATAGAATTGTTTTCTTCAAATTCATTATCAGATTGTTGATTGCTGATATATAAAAACATACATTTTTGTATATTGCTCTTACATCCTGTGATGGTGCTGAATTTATTGATAAACATTTTGTAGATTTCTTATTATTTTCTATTTACAGGACCATATGATCTACAAATAAAGCAGGTATATGACTCCCTTCTCAACATGAATGCTTCAATTTTATATGTTTATTACATATGTATGCTTATGTTTAGGCATTGCCTTTTGGGGCTGGATAGAAATTCCACTACAACATCAAAGTGTTGAGCACAGACTCCTTGCTTTGTGCATGAGTTTTAGAGCAGTACACTAATTTTTTACTTGATACAGATGACTTACCCTTCATTTGAGATTTTTTTCTTTATTTTTTAAATTGATCAATTGACTGATTGTAGTACTGGGGATCAAACCCAGGGCTTCTTGCATGCTAGATGAGGACTCACCACTGAGATATGCTCCCTGCACTATTACCCCTCATTTGAATTAAATCATTTGTATTATTATGAGATAGGAAGCCTTACCAAATGTGAAAAATCTGAGCTTGATTCTCTTCCCATCTGGAGTTTTCAGAACTGTTTTTAGTATCAAGCAACAAACAAAATTCATATTTGCTTGTACACCTTCTGTACCTAGTCCAGCTTGATGACCAGAAGCCATTCTAACCTAAGCTTCAGAGGCCAGATCCTCTTCCCTGGGGACAGACACAGTAGGAAAGGTTGCGATTGAACCCAGGTTTCCCAGACATATGGCCAATGGTTGAGGGACAGAGCACTGCCAAGCAAGGAAAAGAACAGGAGAAAGGGCCAGTGCTGCTGTGGAACTCACAGGACAACTTCTGTGATCATTTGGGAGTGATCCTAGCCTACCCCATTAAGTACTCCACAGGCAGCTGCTGGTACTGACATTATCACTGCTGTTGTCACTACTTGTCACTACTATTCTGTGTTCAGATGGTTCTTTGTTAGATGCAAAAAGACTTGATCCAGGTATTTTTCTAATAGCCCACTGGAATAAAAATCAGCTGTGCGCATAACCAGTAACAGCAGTATATGAGTCTGTGGGCAGTTACGATTGCATCTCTCTTATCTGTTGTTCCCAGCCAGAGAGGCAACTACTGACCTAGGAGACTAAAGGAAGAAGAAGCCATGTGGGGGCTGCAGCTCAGGGCTAGGATGGCCCCTCCTCCCTCTGTCCCCAGCTGTATGATGACAAAGCTGTCACTAGTTAGGGCGCTCAAATCCCAAGTGCCAGGACCTTCTGCTGTGCTGAGAGACAGAGATCACTGCTGTCAGGTGAGTGTCAGGAAGGGCGGGTGCGGGAGGCTGAGGAGTGGGTTTCCCTCCAGCCCCATGCTCAGTTCTCTTCCACAAGAAATTCCAGGAAGGCTGTTCTGGGAGTCACCACAGTCTCCTCGGCAGTGACAAAGAGACCCCTTCAAGAGGAAGGTGTTCTCTGGTGTCAGCTCCCTCGATCCCCTGCCAGAAAGTTGCAGTTTATTGGAGGTGGATTTGTAAAGTGGGTTCTGTCAGGGAGAGAGGGGCGCAGGAGAAACAGAGACAGCAAATTCTCAGGGGGTCGTCTTTGGCAAGCCTGCTGTTGAGGCCTCGTGTTGCTTGTGCTCCTAGCTGCCGACAACCAAGAGTGCCATCTGCAAACTGTGATTCATAAACGCGCTGTCAGGCCGCCATCCGCCTCGACATCATAAAGTAACAAGAAGCCACATTGTAATCAAGGGGCGAGCTTTGCAGCTACCAATTAAATGCATCTAATTTATTTCTCTTACAGCTGAGGCTTTATTTATTAGTAAACAGCTGCATTTGTTACACTTTTTAGATCAAACGTGCCAACTGGCACTTTGGATTATCCATTAATCCTAAATAATCATCTGTGTACCTCATCCTGGATACATAGGTCTACATGTGGGAGGAGGTTATTAAAAGCTGAAGCCCAGCCTTGCCAGTCAGCTGGAGGGTGTAGCTCTGAGCGTCAGGCTGACCGAGTTAATGTGACATGAAGGATGTGCATGCGAATGGAGACTGGCCAAGTTTTAGCAAGATTTTGCGTGTGACTTTATTTTTCCCTTCTCCCCAGGTACATGTAGATAGATGTGTACATTAATTTTCTGCAACTGAATGTTGCTGCATTCTTGTCAAAACTTAATTAGGATGATACTGCCAGAAACATATCATGGGGTTGCCTGTTTTAAACTGGGGCTGGAAGTGGGTGGCATAAGAGGGAAAAGGTGTGCTCACCACCTGAACTTCTGCAGCCCCTGCTAACTGGCATGTGCTTCTGAGGCTGGAGTTCCACCACTCTGGCAGAACTGATTCCAGTACACACACACACACACACACACATGCACACACACTTTCTTTTACTTGAAAATGTCCTTGGCACACAATAAGATCCAGTCAAACCCGGTTTTGTTTGTTTCCTTGATACCTGGGAAAAGTAGATTCCAGAAAATTGTGGCCAGAGAGAGGAGTTTTATTGAGCAAAAGCTCAGTGCTCTGTTGGATCACTTTTTCAGGGAATTGATTCAATAAAAGACTGACGTAGACTCATCTATACCCACCAATTCAAGAAACAGTGTCCAGTTTCATTATTTTCCAGCCCAGTAGATTCACATTGAAATAAGTCATGGGGGTGTTTTCATGTTCAGTGAAGGCTGGGCATCCTTCTGAGTGCACTGCTATCTCTTTTCTGGGAAGTAATTGTAAGTACAAGCTATTCAGAGAGGTATAAATGACAGACTTCAGCTACTTTAAACTCAATTAAATTAGAAGCTCTCTATCAGGTGGCATTGCATTTATGGTTGCTTAAATTGTGTGTTTGGGTGATGGTCACTGACATATAGCTGCAAACCAATATTCTATTATGGCACTTTTGGATTAACAGACATTGTTTCAAATAATGAGAATTTTATTTTTATTATTCATACCCATAGACAGTCCAGGCATGCTTGCATAATGACTGAGATTTTAAATTTAATAAAATCTGAAGACAATATGGAAAGAGATGATCGTTCAAAGAACCAAGGAATAGTTTATGAATTTTTATATTTTTTTTACACAGCTCACTGTTTTCTTGTGCTACAAAATGAATTCACATATAGTCTCTTAAGCAACATGGATAGTTAACTGGTTAGGGACCACCACAAGTGGAATATGTTCTGTTGTTCACAGAGTTGATTCGCAGCAGTCAGAACTGTAGGGTTTGGAGCCAGTTTCTCTGGACTGAAATTCCTGTCCCACGCAGTACTAATGGTGGGACTTCCAGTAAGTTATGTATTCATTCTAAGACTCAGTCACTTCATTTGTAAACCGGGGTTAATCCCCCGTTTCAGACGGTTATTGTAGGAACTGCATTGAATCACATAAGATGTTTAGCCCAGTGTCTACGACATCTAAACAATCAGTAAATGTTACATCTGCAAAGAATCCAATGTCTGTGGGAGAAATAACCAGAAGTTACCAACACCTCTGTGGGCCCCGTCGTCAGGGCAATTCAGAGTCAGGTGAGTGCTGATGTCATGCAGGTAACTCACCTGGCCATGTCCCGTGCTGTGTGTGCCACAGCAGGCCAGCATGTGCTCCTTTCTGCCCAAGCTCACACTCAACACAGTCCATGCTCAGCAGCACAGAATTAGCCAAGGTGGAAGCATTCACACCATGGAAGTCAGCAGTGCTACAATACAGGCTCCTCCCCTGCACTGGTATTAAACGTTGATCAGTTCATCCTTCCTGTAGGGAACAAAGTGCATGCCTGGAATCAAGCCACTGAGCAGCCAGTGGATAAAATCCATGCAGGGTCTCACTAAGGTTAGACCTTGACATCCTTACTCACAGCTTTATTAATTTGTACGTACAACTAGCATGAGCCATTACTTAGTTTCTTATTTGAGAGCATACCAGAGACAAAAAGTTAGAATTTGTGAGGAAGTTGGCAAGAAGAAAGCAGATATGACGTTGGATTAACAGGAACACTCAGAAACAATAACAGTCTGAGATTGTTTCTAGGGAAAAAAATGAGCCCAACATGGACTCAGCATCCCTCTTCAAAACTCCTGTGTCTACAGTGAACTCCTCAAATCATCAAAGAATACAGTAAATTAAGCTTCATTCCCATTGCTTCCTCTGACAGCTTAGTGAGGATATAATTAGTTGTGGTCTAAAAGACAGAATGTTAGTGCTGAGGGGGATCTCAGGGACCGTCAGATCCAGGAGGCTCCAGACATGTCAGCTGCAGGATGAGATTTCTGGTGGTCTCCTTATCCCAAGGAGGCCAAGCAGTTTTGCGGGCACAGCTCCTGTTGGTGAGCATGCTGCTGTTCCCTGGTCTTGCACCCTGCTTAAGAAGCGTGCTCCACCCATGAAGGTCTCTGGGACATTGGAAAGCAAACTCCTCACCTGCTCCCCTGCCAGAGACTGCTTACTTAAACCAACCAAAAGGCACCAAGGAACCAGGCTCAGTCCAACTTTCACCCTGCAGAAGGAACTGCAAGAGATGAACTCCCTGTGGTTAAGTCAGAAGTTGGAAATATTTATGACCAGGAAATAACAGCATTGCACTTTGAATAGCCCTTTAAGCTAATGATTGATAGTATGAATGCTATCATTGATTTGTCATTTGCTAGATGTCAGGCATTTTGTCAGACACTTAATCCTTATGGATTCTGTCACTGTTACCATTTGAAGTCCCATTTTATAGATGACCAGGATTTGGCATATTGAGAGACTTCCCTGAGGTCACTCAACTAGGAGGTGACTCAGAGTGACTTCAAAGCTCATGGTTCAAAATGTCCTAAAAGTGAATTGTTAAGATGGACAGATTTGGAGGATGAGAAACAACTGTCACATTTGGAGTATATAGTTGGAGCATAAAGCTGGCAAGTCAGGGGTGAGGTGGGCTGTTGGGACAGAATGAGAAAGCTGGGAAAGAGACCTGCTTTTATGGACTAGAGAGAGAAGACACATATGCAAGTGAATCGCACTTGAAGAATCTAGATTTGGATGGGTGGTTTGTGGAAGAATTCCCAGAAGTGAAGTAACTTTCCTAGGGCCATGTAGCCAGTTCGCAGTCTATATTCAACTGTGCATCAACTGTGTCTTAATTTAGAGAAGTCACCTTGAGAATAATGAAATAATGTTAAGGCACATTGACATGGATAAGACTTAAATTGAACTGTAAAGAAAATTAATTTTTGTGAACTGCATAAAGCCAAATAATTGAAACAATTCTTTGTACCTTTTGGGATATGTCACTATATAATCTTGAAGTATAGGGCATGGATACCAATGTTTATGGCCCTTTTGTTTGAATTAGATTTTTTATCTACATCTACATTACTTCTCATAGACTCCCAACAGGATCAGGAAGACAGGATGAAAGAGAGCCTCCTGATGGCCCCACCAAGTCAGAGGAGAGGTAGAACCAGCCTTGGCTCCTGTCAGTCAACCTGTTTCTACTCTCAAAACTTGAATCATCCAAGTTAAGGAGTAAACTGAATGCTACACACCCAGCATACATTCAAGAACATCAAAACTGGAGGTGTCTGTAAACCTTTTGTTTCTTTCCAAGAGCCCCACGTTAGTGTTCTGCGTGGTGTTTGGTGACCAGACTACAGGTACAGATAAAACAGAAAGTGTTCTGCTTTTCTGTGTACTTCTTCCCCAGCCTACTCTCCTGCTGAGAAACCATATTGTCTGCGTCCACTACCCTTTCAGTATGATGGGGAAGCTGAGAGTGTGTTTTATAAAACCCAGCAGATTATAAAACCTCTTCTCATCCCATCATTCAATAATCATCAAGTCCCTAAAAATGCACAGTGCCAGCAATATTGTTCCAATAAGTAAAGTCATACTTCTGAAACAGATGAGGATAACATTTCTTTGTCACTGGGTGAAATTGCTTTAAAAAGCATCAGCAGCAAACATGGGGAGGGGCAAGGGGAGGTGAATTCTTGCTGCTGGAAATCTGGCCACATGAGATGCTCACTGCTGAAAAAATTCAATGTTGCATTTGTTTCACTGCAGTACATTGTCCGTCAGCTCATTGGAGTCTATTAACTTAATCGTTCTTTATTAACAAACGGTCATTTGCTCTGGCAGCAGAGCAAGCTCCAATGCCAGTTAAACACGTTAATAAATGCAGTGCCCCTTTCTATTCTGCTCCTTCTCTGCACTTACTGGGAGTGAGCATGCACGTGCACACGTAAATGCAGGTGCACACACACACAGGCACACACACGATGCTTAATCAAATGCGTTTACATGGAAGAAGCATATCAAAAATTGGTCTATAAAGTTTAGCAAGCAGAGGGGAGAGTGCTTGTCTTTACAAGTGCATCTCACTGTACTAGTGTATCGTATTTCTCTTATAAATGTGTGTCCTGCCTCTGTAACAATGAAGTCAGCTAACATTTTAGCTGGGGAGGACAATGACAATAATCTCTTGGCAAACCTTTTGCAAGGAAGTCCTCTTAAAATCATACACGTTCTTCCTGCATTTTTCTTCCTCAGTAATCCTTACTCATCTTTCCAAACTTCAGAAGGGAAGATTTCCTTTGTCTTTTTGTACACTGATCTCCTTTGCTCTCCTTTCCCAGCCCCCAACATACATACCCCTCTCCTTAGGTGACATTATCCTATTCACCAAACCTGTAACTTTAACAGAGGGTGACAGGGCGACCTTGACAACAGATGTTCCTGTGGCAACAGATGGCACTGGCAAACCGGAGAAGCTGCTGTACGCCGTCTCCGGGCCACCTGTGC